TAGACGCTTCCAGCATGCAATCGGAATACAAAAAACATACAGTTGTAAATGATAAGTAAGCTTTTTCACCCTTATCTCGCAACATGTCGACAACTTCTAGCCTGGCAGCTTCCAGTGGAGTACTGTTAAATAATTTTTTTTTCACGCATTTTTTTCTCCGAAGGCATTATAAAACTGACTAATTTTACATTTGTCGTTTCGCTGTAACGATCACCGTGCTGATAGCATTGCGATGTAGTAGTGGATAAACACCATTCAGACCATTGATGTGCTGTCATCGATAACTAACTTTTCAGTGGCAAAATACACAAACGTGAAATTTTTGGTTCTAATCACATTTCAATGAAACTTCGTACATAGATGGTCTGTGACAGTACTTATCTTAATTCAGTGAATCTTGGTACATATGTACTCTAACACAATGTGATGATCAAAATAGTTTTAGGTTTATATATATCTATAATAATTACCTAATTTGCATAATAATTTACTTTACCTTTCAGCTTTTAGTTAGGATTAATCATCACATTATAATGAAACTTTGTACATGTGCACCCTGAAACAATATACAGACCTAAATCTATGCATAATAACTGCTTAATTTGTATAATAATTCATTTGGTTCATTGAGGTAATCCACAGACATGATTAGTTTAATGTTGATAAACATGCATATTGATTATCTATTATTAGCTCATTTCTGATATCTAAACAAATCAGTTTTAAATTGAAATCATCGCAGAGGTGCTCTGGAACTAATTAGTCCAAAAACCATGGATGAAAAATCAAATGTATTTTCTGTATGTATTATAAATTTTGATATACATCTCAAATGGCAGACAAAAATTAGTTGCTAAGCTTCTTGTTTGAAAAGCAAATCTTAAATTTTGAATTAATTTTAATGTGTCTCCAATACTCTCACTCAGCACACTGGAGTTCTTTCCAAGCTTTCCTTGATTTACAAAATGCCTATCTACTTTCAGATCGGTGATCAAGTAATATCAATTCCAGAGATGTTGTTAATTACGACTCAGAATGTTCTCAGTAGTTACCTTGGCGATTTTATAAAGCAGTAAGTGTACTTTAGTTAACTAATAATGCTGTTAGAATATTGGAATATTAATTGTTAAAATTAAAAATCTTAAATCTTAAAATTACTTTTTCAACTAAAATGATAGCTTCCATCACTATAAAATTCATTGTTGATCTTCTAAGTCACTTGCATAATTTTCTTGCAATATGACTGACTGGCGGCCATTGTGTAGGTCAAATTCAAGATGGCTGACCAATAGACATTGCCATCTGTAAGTCGTGCATGTACATAAATGCGTGTCAGATGTTATACAGAGTACCGGTGCTAGACAAGAAAACATTCTTTTTTAAAATATAACATATTTCATTTCACAGACAAACCAGACCAAAGTTATCACCAATGCAAGTTATCTGTACATACCTCATATGTGAACGATCTAGACAAAAAGATTCCTTTTGGTACAACTACATTAAAGTTCTCCCAAAGAGCTATTCCAATCCTGTGTACTTCACGAATGAAGAAATCAATTGGTTACCAAGGCGCATCAAACGAAAAGTTTTTGATGAGTGTGAAAAGATAAACACTGCTTACAGGGAACTCAAAAATTTGTTCTCAATTTTAGAATCAACTTTTGTGAGTTTTAAGGGAATATTTGAGTATTCTGCATTCAGGTGGGCGTGGTGTACCGTCAACACAAGATCTGTGTACATGTTACAGGAACAGAATCCACATCTATCAATCGAACGTGATCACTATGCTCTTGCTCCTTTCTTGGATTTATTAAATCATACAAACACAGTGGAGGTAAGAAATAACAAACCTTAATTTTGATTTGTGTGATTAATTATTTGATATTTGAGAACGGAAAAAATAATTGTCTGTTTAGTGTTTTTCACTTGACTTCTGCACTGGCATCATCAATTTAATCAACACAAACAGTGAATCATGTTTTTATTTTTTCCACAATATATTAGAAAAATAGCCCTTTAAAATCCAATAACCAATCAAAAGTAGATTACAATGCTACAGTCACACATTTCGTTTTAACAATTTGATCTCCGAATCAGATATCCTTAAAATGGTGGAATGCGTCGGGTTTCAATCAGTATAACTCACAAACGCCACAACTTTAAATTAAATAGGCTTTCAACTGTGTTTTGCTGACAAAAAATTTCAGTGATTGACCATTTGAATTTGAAGGAAATGTATTTCTTCTACCTACTATCATACATTTCATGTGAGGGTCTCGTCTGTTTCATCAAAAAAATTTGCTTGCCATTTATGACTATGATTCCTCATTTCTCAATTTACATTTAAAGTGGCCTGTATATACAGACTACGGGAGACGGTTGATTCGTCCAAAATCACATTCGACCCAAGTTATTCGTCCCACAAGTTTATTTGTCCTAAAATCCATGCATCGAATCGACTTATGGGACGAATGTGTTAAGACGAATGTGATTTGGGATGACTTGACTGAATCAAAACTACCTGTCTAATTTCTAGCACACGTGGAGAATTGTCTGTTTAAAAGATATGAGGAAAAAATTAATGGATGGTCAGCTAGCTTGTTTTTTATGTTTTTCTTGTTTATTTTATGCCAGTCACAATATAAAGAACTCTAGAAGTATATTTAATAATATTTATTATAAATAAGTATATTTAATAATAGTGCTTGCCAAAAGGAAATAAATAACACTTGATCTTGATAATGAAAAAATATTGTTTTTAGATATAAAATAAATAGATTACCACCCTTTTTGAAGTATATTATTTTGTAATATTTAAAAAAAAAAAAAATTCATTTTGAAATGTTGCTAATCTATTTATTATAATCTGTATTGGTAAACCTCAAATGTGAACAGTACAGAAATTAATATCTCCTACTAGAGGGCGCTCTGTGACATAACACCATCTAAAAGTCTTCAATTGTCCATTCTATTATAATATAGGACACAGTGTTTCCACTGTATAAATTTGTATCATAAAATTCTATTCGTTACTGTGTTTTTGTTGTTTACAGGTTAAGGCCTCGTATAATCCTGTATCAAAATGTTATGAAATTTTCACATGTACAGCTTGCAAGAAATATGATCAGATGTTTATTTATTATGGTCCTCATGACAACGTTAAATTATTTATTGAATATGGTTTTGTTCTTCCCCAAAATCAACACAATGTTGTTGAACTTGATTTCGGTGAGTATATTGATTATATTTACAGAACTTCATTATGTTCACAATTTTTGCATCTGATATTGAAATATAATAAGCGCACATAAACCATGCATTGTCTGAGTAAATACTGTACAGCTTATATGGGAGTTTCAGTTAAATTCAAATCTTTATATCAAGATCATGTTACGGGGTATACATGTGTGTACATTGCAATATGAGAGATATTTCTATCAAATATACTTTGACATTGAAAACTCATAACATTTAATAAAAATGTTTCAACAATGTGTATATAACCATGTCCAAGTCTGATATAAGTTATTGATACCTTATACTACCTAAATTCTGTGCAAATATTTTTACATTTTATAAAATTATCTGGACCATACAGACTGTGTCAGATAGTGTTTTTAGTTTTTGATCAAAAGCTTTTCCAATTGTTATCAATATTTCATGTGGGGGGAATAGCTGACTGTATAAGATCATTTTGTAGATGTGTCAAAATCTGACATTGGTGTTCAAAGGGTTAAAGGTTGGTGGTTGTCATGTGTTCTAATTCCATGTAAACAACCAAAATGTATTTACAAGTGCTGCGTACACCGCATGGAACTTTTATATCAATTACGTCCTATAATAGTAATAATTATGATGGCTATGATTAGCTCATATCCTTGACACTGTCATACTCAAAGGCAGCACAAAACATTATTAGCTTTTTCAGTTGGTCATATATACCCGGGTATGTCAAACTTATTGCTAGGAACACACAACACACCTATAGTAAAAGTGGCAAATAATTTCATTAATAAGAATTTTGGGATCACTTTATAATATTGTGAAAGTCCATGGTTTAATTAAAAGATTCCACTAAAAGCGTAATTCTAATATTGATACTTAACATCACCTTTATATGCAATTGCATTTATTTTCAGAGGATATCTATTGTAAGACATGTGAAGAGAGAAAACTGCTTCGAAACAAACTTGATTTCTTCCAATCTCATAACTTGACTACTAAACTGACATGTAGCTTGGATGGGTTGTCATGGAAACTGGTGACTGTATTGAAGATTCTCTCAATGTTGAACACTGACATGTAAGAGTGACTA